TACCTGGAAGAGGGAAGGGGGAAGAGAGGGCTTGGGGCAGGGAGGAGAGAGGAAGTGAAGAGACACAAAATCAGGCAGAGGGAGAAAACGGACACCAGTGAAGTTTCAGTGGGCACTGAGCTGACCATCGGGGGCTTCTGAAGTGAAGACTGTGTTCTCAACTCTGTCCCAGGCGGAGGAGAGGGCCAGGCCTCTCTAGCCTCATCAGCAAGGGGATGCACCTGCCTCAGAAAGGGGACGTGGCCTCCTTCGAGGACACTCTCCCCTGAGACAACCTGGAAGGGGCTGACAACAGAGGGGCAGCTGAGGGCACCAAACCTCTCTTCCCTCCTGAAAGAGGATCTAAATGCCCACCCTCTTGTCTGCCACAGTAAGTAAGCAAAAGAGGCCTCCTCAGGTTCATCTACATACCAGGCTGCAAGTGTATCCTTTCAATGACACAGCACTGAGCTATAATCACTGACCAATGTTTCCAGCACATCTTCAGGCACAAAACAGAGGTTTATACCCCTTGCTTCTCTTAAATTCTCTGTGAGACACGTTATCAAGTTCACATCTGCCCATTTTATGCCTAGGAAAACTACATGGTGGGGGCAATCTGCCAGTCTCTTACAGGCAAGCCCTCCAGTATTTAAAAGGAGAAAGGCATCTCTGGTGACAGCAAACCCTGCCTAGAAATGTAGGCAAGCCATTGGCCCAGGGTTACAGATGGGCAGGAAAAGGAGAGATGTAGCTAGTGAGAAATTTCCTGGTGCTCTGGACCTGTCCCCGCTCTCAGCCTTCCTTCTCTCTTTGCAGATGCACCGGAGGGCAAAATTTAGTCTATAAATTATACTCTGACCCCTTTTTCTAAATTTCATTAAAAACATTTTTTTCTCCTTTATCTGAAAATTCCTCTTTCAACTCTCTCAAAGACACTCCTGGGTCTGTCTTATTGCCCAATAAGTAACCTGCTACTGTTCACTCTGACTGTAATCAAGCCCGTGACGGTGTCCTAACAACACACCTAAGAGTGCCACAGACGGCCAGTGCTCACCCTCTTGTGTCATTTCACTTAATTAACAAGCGGAACAAAGATTTCAGGAAAGAAGGAAATTTGATTACGCAGCACTGTAATGGCACTCATGTCTCCTGGAAAGACTGAGTGGGGTCTGCCCCCTGAAAATCTCCATTTGCTCTACCATTGTACCGTGGAAATGTCAGCCTGCCCCCCACCCCCCACCCTGAGGTGACCTTTAGCTGCATCTCCCAGTAATACTAAACCATTAGTCATGCCTGGGTCAGTGATGTGTCAATAACAGAATAATTATTGAAGAAAGCCTTAAGAGGAAAGACAGCAGCCTCGATGCAGAATTAGCTCGACCCAAACCAGCACCATGGCTTGTTGAATAAATGAATGGATGTCGAATAAATAACCTCTTTACATCTGGAGACCTAAAGACTGTTGAATCCATTAATCCAGGGGGTTATTTGTAGCTGCTAAACACCTTTTTAGACCAGTAAGTGGCTTGGCTTTCACTCCTGCTGACTACACCCCACCCTTCTCTAGTGAGTGAATATACTGTACTTAATGGTTCTGGCATTTGAAAAGGAATTCAGTCAGCAGGGCTATTTGGAACACCTGCACCTTCAGCAGGGTACTGGGTGTGGGGAACCACCTCTTCCCACTCCCAGGAGGGGCAATTTTGAGAATCTGAAATTAGAGATGCCTGCAAATTCTATAAGGGACCTCTGATAGAAACCAAACAGTCATCTGCAAAGAAAAGAAACACAGGACAATGAGACAGTGTGGCTTCCAGCCAGATGCACACATAGGGAGGACAGGCTGGAGAAGGTTGGAGTCACACTGCCACAAGCCAAGGAGAAAGACCTGGAATCCATCCTTCCCTGGTGCCCTCAGAGGGTGCATGGCTTTATTGACATCTTGATTTCTGACTTTCAGACCCTAGAGAAAATAACTCTCTGTTGTTGAAGCCACTCGGTATGCGGTACCATGTTACGGCAACCCTAACAAACCCATAAACTGAGGTAATAGCAGGCCTTGTTTGGAACTCTGACCTCAGCATTTCCTGATTATGTCAGCTGGACAAGGTACTTAAACTCCTTGACCCTCTGTAATATCAAGACAATAATAGATAATGTACCTACCTCACAAATCTATTGTGGGAATCCAAACCTTGCATATGCGAAAGCACTCCAAGTCTGACAGAGCGCTATGGACATGACACAGGACACAAACACGTCCAACATGGCACTTTCTACCCCTGAGGTACGTACAAATTAGTGTCTCCAAGATTCCATAAAGAGAACTCAAGAGCTGCTGAGAAACTAAACAAAAAAAAATGCCCTCTTCCTACCCTTTTTTTATTTTTTAAGATTTATTTATTTATGCGTACAAGAGCTGGGGTACAGGCCAGAGATGCGGGGGTTGAGGATTCACCAGAGTCAGAGTGGGGAGCAGAACAGGCAGACTGACTGAAATACACTGCTGAGGGGAGCAGCGGGTGAGACAGGAGAGGTCTGCTGCGCCATGTGGGTTGTTCCCTGGCCGGCTGGGGTTTGAACCTGTGGTGCAGAGGCTGCGAATTGCTTCATAGTGCAGTGCTTAACCCCTTGCACCACCAGGGAGACCCTCTCCCTACCCTTTCTACTAGACTAGTGGATAAGAATAGGGAAAGTAGAGTCTTTGCGGCAAAAAAAGAGAGTGACCCCTTCCTAGTGTTATAGCACAGATGAAGATGATGGCCAAAGCAAGGAAGTAACTCATCACACAGGCCCCCACCCAGGCCTTTCCTTCCAGGAGCACAGGGGCCCAGGGCAGGAGAGGGAGCTGGGCAGAGGCCTGCAATGTCCAGTCTTCACAGCAGATTCTACACCATGACAATCTTTGTCCAAAGCCATGTAGAGTGTTTCCATAATGTTGGTTGATTTCCCAATAGGCAGGAGTTTCTTTTGTGTTCAATAGCAGCCAGAATAAATCCTCTAGTCTCTCAAGTCTACTTATTATATGAAGCTGCATTAAAAAAAAGTTCAAGAAACAGAATAAATTTCAAAGACATCTACTGAAATAATAGTACCATTGATATGAAAATGACATGCTACCTTGATAGGCTTCCTCCCCAAAAACCTATAACCCCTATCTAATTCTAGGAAAAACAACAGACAAGTTCCAATAGAGGGACATCTTATGAAATACCTGAGCAGAACTCCTCGAAACTGGCAAGGAAAGCTTGAGAAACTGCCAGAGCCAAAAGAAGTCTGAGGAGACATAATAACTGCATGTTAAGCATTCCAGAACAGAAAATAGACACTCAGTAAAAACCAAGGAAAGCTGAGCACACTGCGGACATTCCTTAATAATGACATGTCACTATTGGTTCACGAATCTTACCAAACACACCACATTGATGCAAGATGTTACTAGCAGGGTGAGCTGGGTACAGGCATATGGGAGCTCTCTGCACCATCTTCTCAGCTTCTCTGTAAATCCAAAACTCTTCTTAAAAAATAAAGCCCATTAACAATTTTGAAAAGCAATCCAAACTGCTTTTATCTTTTGAAGAAACACTTTTCTCTCTAGGTAGTACACAACCTAAAATTTCCCCAGGGCCTTGTGTTCTGTCAAATCCTTACACAAGTGTGCATGCCTGCAAGTGTGAACGCATACACACTGCCTGACACTCAGAAATCATGGCTTTTTTGCCTCTTGCACCCCTTTGCTGGTGCCACGTTATTTCCACTGTTACCATCCCTCTTCCCTGAATGTGTCACCACCAAGACTTCTGCTCCAGCCAACCCTTCTAGAACCCTGGAGGACCCAGTAGGTTCAGGGACCTGTTCCTCCCTTGCTGCTCATGAGAGAAAAGCATCCTCCAGCGTGCATGGTTCTTCTCCAGGTCTTTCCAATTTTCTTATAAGCAAATTCTTTTTTTAATAATGTTTTATTGAATCCAATGCATGTAAAATATCACTTCAATATGCAATCAATTAAAAAAGATATTACTGTGATACTTTACATTTTTTAAGTTGTTGTCACATGGTTTATAACATTATGGAGGTTCGGGTTGTACAGCCTTTTAAAACAACATCTGAACATACCACATTATGTTTCCCACTTATAAGATAAGCAATTCTTGTGGAGAATTTGCAATAAATAACATTCTATACCTCCAGAAATAATAAACCATTCAAAAGTCAAAAATTAAATATATTACTAATATCATGCATTAACCACCTAAATGTATGAACTAATGTTGCATTGAAAGGAAACATCAGTAGTCCCAGAGACTATGTTGAAAACTGGGCCATTGTGATAAAGTGAAAAGGTAACCAAAACCAAGAATTAAAATGTCAATACATATCTGGATATATGACAAAGCTAATTTTTAAGAAGGAAAGGAGTGATAAACACGAATTCAGAATAGCAGTTATCTCCTGGGGAGGAAGGTAATGCCCTAGGTCTTATCTCGAATAGTATTATATTTTGTAACTAACATGCATTACATGCATTCTTTGATATATATCTAATAAAAACATGCATTTTTTAAAAAATGAAAACTTTAATTGGAGTGATGTATCAGTCAGATTCCTACAGGCAAAGAAACCAACATGGATTTTTTAAAAAGTAAAAGAACTTATTAATAAGATATTAGGTGGCTCACTGAATAAGCAGAAGGACCGGACAACCCGGCTATGGGGTCAGCCAAGAATTCAGACAGCAGAGCAAGGAAGACACCCCTGAACGCAGACACTATAGCTTCCATCTCCAAAGCCACCAACATGGAGTGCTGACGTTAGCACTGGCGCCCTGCCACACTGCCTCTCAAGGGATCAGAGGGAGGGAGGCAGGAGCACAGGGGACTGTGGTGATGGAGCACGGATGCCTTGCGGAAGGAAATTCTATGGGAACTCAACCTGAGGGGGTGAGAGGAAGCAAATATTGCTTTAAAATATATAAATAAATAAATTTTTTTAAAAAAGCATTAAAAAAAAATCTGGCTATTGGGACAGTTGCTGCCACTAGGTGCCCTCATAGCTCTTGCCTCGTGGCACTTTCTAGCTCTAGTTTCCACCTCTGGGTGGATGAGTCTGATTACTGGATTCCAGGTCATGTGTCTGTGCCTGTTTGCAAGGCAGGCTGGGAAAGCGCTTAACTCCAGCTTGGAAAGTCCACCTACTATAGGAAACAAGCTCTGACTACCCCCAAGACACATAAGGTTGTGAATCTCCCACACAGAGAGAGACCCTTTGGATGCCGGCTGTCAAAACAGTCAACAAGCGTCCATGTTTTTAGCTGTTCAACATCAACATACATCCTGCTGCCCAGGTATTTGATTTTTAAAAATATTTCTGTTTAATAAATGTAGCTATCCCTCCTGTAATCAATAAAGTTGTCCACCTTATGCCAAAAATGGGGTCCAGGGAGCACCCAAAGACATTGTGTCTTACCAAGTACTGTATCCAGCTCCAATAACACGTCTATTGTGATCTTCCAATATTCTGTAGCCTCTAAACTAATTCAACTCTCACCAATTCACCTTGTAAGTAGAATGGGGGGGAGGGAGAAGAAAGAAGAAAAGAGGAAGAAGCTTAGTTAATATATAAATATGTATGTTTAGCAAAGTCAGAAAGACTCTAGTCATGAATCAATACAATCGATGGCATTTATGGCCTAACCGCCCATCCACTCTAAGGTAACTTTGCCTTCAGCCCAAACCTCAGTTAGGGTTTCTTGACCTCAGGGAGTGACTCGGGTCTTTACTCCTGAGGGACTGAGTGTTGGAGCTCCAGAGTGATGGAGTCTTCCTTGAGCTTTTACCACAGAGCATCCACCCTCCGCCTCCAGGGAGTCTTCGGTAGCCAAGATCCCATCTCGCTTTTTTTTTTTTTAAAGATTTATTTATTTATGCATACAAGAGCTGGGGCACAGGCCAGAGGTATTGGGGGGGGTGGAGGGTGAGAGGATTCACCAGAGACAGAGTGGGAAACAGAACAGGCAGACTGACCGAAGTATACTGCCGAGGGGAGCAGTAGGCGAGGGCGAGTCAGGAGAGGTCTGCTGTGCCATATGGGCTGCTCCCTGGCAGGCTGGGGGATCGAGCCTGTGCTGCAGTGGAGTGGCTGCGGACAGCTTCATAGGTTGTGTCTCAACCCCTTGCGCCACCAGGGAGCCCCCCCCCCCCCACCGCAATCTCGCTTTTAAGGGATCATTCAGCCCAGCAACACCATAGCCCCCCTTGTGGCCTTTTCAACAAGTAGCATGAGATTGTAATGAAGGCTCCAGGGTGAGAGAGTTTTCATGAGAATATTAGGTTTCTAGGACTTCTCTAACAAATTACCACAAATATGGTGGCTAGCTCAGAATTACAAAAACAAAACAAAACTTAGAGCCTGATGCAGACCCTAAGTCTTTTGCTCTTTTAAAGGCATATAAGCTGGGGCCTCCCTGGTGGAGCAGCGGTTGAGCGCTGGGTTGTGAAGCTGCCCGCGGCCTCTGCAGTGCCGGTTCAATCCCCGGCTGTTCCCCAGCCACCAGAGGAGGGTCCCACATGGCGCGCAGACCTCTTCTGCCGCCCGCTGCTCCCCTCAGCAGTGTACTTCGGTCCTTCTGCCTGCTCTGCTCCCCGCTCTGACTCTGGTGAATTCTCTTACCCTCCCGCACTTCTGACTGTACCCAGTGCATGTATAAACAAACAAACAAATAAATAAAACATGCCTCTATTAAAAAAAAAAGGCATAAAAGCTGAGGGGAGCAGCAGTTGAGTCAGAAGAGGTCTGCTGCGCCATGTGGGTAGCTACCTGGCCAGGGATGGAACTCATGCTGCAGAGGCAGTGGACAGCTTCATAGATTGCGTCTTAACCCCTTGGGACACCAGGGAGGCACCCCCTCCTTTCTCTTGTAAGGACACCATTTGTTGGATTTAGGGCTCATCCTAAATCCAGACTGATCCCATCCTGAGATCATTAACTTAATTACTCCCTCAAAGACCCAATTTTCAAATAATATTCACAGATAACCTTGAATCTGGATTTGAACATATATTTGGAGGGAGAGGGAGACACAATTCAATCCAATACGATGAATATTTTCATATCCCCCTAACCCTGGGTTCATTTTTAACTGTATTATTATAATGCTACTGTATATTATATTATATTATATTATATTATATTATATTATATTATATTATATTATATTATACTATATTATACTATATTATATTATGTTATGTTATATTATATTATATTATATTCTTGCCAAGTCCCTAGTCAACCACTATGCTGCCAGACCTGTCCATAAATCAGGGTAGATCCTATCTTAGTTTCTCTCCATCCAGACAAAATGGGCAATGAGATATAGCGAATTGAAAAGACAGGTGTGCAGACACATCTTCACCCAGAAATGGAGAAACTGGGCTGACTTGCTACACCCCCACACAGATATCGCCCACTCAATGCTATTTAAGACACTTTCACCCAGCCAGTGATTGTTAAAGACTAATTGTTGTAAACTGTTCAGGTTTGGACAATTACATGCTGAAAGACTAATACACACCCTCTCTATGAATTGCACCTCGTCTGAATATAATAAATCCTTATACTATTACCATTCTGAAAAGAACCCCTTCCTCTGGCCTTGGAGTGTTGAGGCCTGGGTTCCTGGAAGAGTGGCTTTTCACTTCTAAATATAACCTATTTATTACATTGCATTGCCTCTCAAAATATCCCCTAGAATACATGCTGGGTCATAAACAAGTGTCACATAAGCATGCACTTAGAAAATATTTAACCGTACTGTCCAGGTCAGCATTTTTCTTATCCTCACAGATGATTCAATTTTTAGAAAAGTGAAACCAAGAATAGAGCCGAGACCTTTTTGTTTCATTGCTCCTGAATTGGGAAGATCTTACTATCCTCCCCCTTTGTATTTCTTTTTTCTTTACTAAGAAATTTGTCACTCATGCTGTTTCTCTGACAATCAATTCATTGATCTTCACTGTTCCACTCCAGGAATATTTGAAATGCAAATAAGGTCACAGGTCTCTTTTCCATTAAAAAGGGGTCGTTCAGAAACAGTCAAAGAGTGCAGTTCTATAAATCCCCCATCTTTCTAATATGTGTACATACCAACCTTTCTTTTTCTTTAATTTTTCTCTTTGTCAAAGCAGAAAAATAAACCACTAGCAAAAGCATACACTAGCTAATCTTCCAAAACACAGGAAATCACTACACTGGAAGAATCTTTATTCATTTGAGTGAAACCCCTCAATTTCTTAGACACTCGACATCAGCAGAGTTAGCAAAGCTCTTTGTATCTATCATCTACTCATGCATCATTCATGTAAAAGGTGACCTGGGTCCCATTAGTTGACTAGCTGATCTGAATCTTTTGGGTTACTCAGATAAGTCATTTCTAGTGGTCCTCCTTTTAAAATTAATGGAATAGAAGAGAATACATGCTACTTAAAAGAACACCCTGCTGGGAATTTCTCACTAAAGTAAGGCTAATTCTTTTCTGTATTTCCCCTTTCTTTCCCACCCTTATTTTTGCTTTTATTCCAAAGGGCTGTATTTCTGAATTTATTTCAGATCCAGGAGTACAGAAGATCAATGTCAAGGCCCCAGCTGGGACTCAACACACATGAATTTGAATCAGTAACCGCCCTCTGGTACAAAGCCTCCTTCTCTCAAAGTGCTGTCTTTCTGTGCAAGGCCTTTGGTTAAGGCCCATGAGAACAATGACCCAGTCACTCCTTAGAAGCCCTGTTGATCAGAGCCTCATAGATACTCAAGGCTTTCCCTATAACACCCTACACATCGCAGTAATAAAGCTCATTTCCTTAGTTGCCCTGCAACTGTGATGTGCCTCAAGTATGGTCATGGCTTTTTAAAAAATAAATGTATCCTGAGAGATTTAAAGAAATGTTACTATCCCATTTAAATATCCTTCAGTGATACTCTGATAAACTTCAAAGTTAGAATTCTGAAGTTTATAACACAAAGTCCCTGGTGTTTGTCCCTGCCCTCTTTCTACCATCATCTCCCATCTCTCCCATGTGTGCATTGTAAGTCCAGCCTCCTGAATTCCTGGTTATCTCCTATGCTTCTGCTTGAGCCTAAGCCCCCAGGAATGTTTCTAAACCCCCACCTGAGAGCTAAGGTGCCCACACCTGAGGGCAGAAATCCTATATTGTCAAAATATTAACAAGGATGTAAAACAATGGTACTTCATTAACAAGAAATTAATTAAATATTTTGAAAATACAAAGAAACAAAAACAAACGCCCACCTTATCTAGACAGCCCTGCTCTTGGCACTCAATAACTTTGTGCCTACCTCTGAAATAGTACTTATCACACTGTCATTCGGTAGATGCTAATTCACTCACCAAACTGCCAGACTAGTTCAGAGCTTCTTCTTTCACTCACCAATAAAAGCCTAATTTTTGCCAATCCAGACTAAGTGTTAGAGGAAATAGCCACTGGACTAAAATGAGAACACCAACCTGTCATAAATTTCAAAATCCTCAATAACAACTTTTTTAATTATGTAGGAGATTTGTCACATAGCGTAGGCCTAGAAATAAGTCACATTATTCAAGTATTTATCTATAAAATCTATTTTAATTTTCCCACATGCATTTTTAAAAATCACAATTGAAACTCTGAGAAGCTGCTATTACCCACTGTCTTACAATTTGATCACCTCAACTAGAAACAAAAAAAACCACATTAGTGAAAAATTATTTCAATGCTCTGTGTTTCATGCTCTAATAGCTTCCTTGATGCTTCAGATACAAAAGTTTTTGCTTTGTTTCAGCCCACTCTGTAGTTGTAACCTTTTTTACTTGTCACTGGCTTTCTGCTCTATGCCACTATCAGTCGAAATGCAGTCACAAGTGTTAGAAAATATAGGTCAAGCCATATTAAACAGGCAAGATAAAAAAGAAGTGGGGGTAATTTTTCCAGGACATGAATCAGAGCAATCCAGGACACAGTTAGATCCTGGGGTTAAAATGATCTCATCAGAAAGTTGTCTTTCTTCTTCTTTGTTGATTTTATTTTCCATCAGGCTCTATAACAAGATGAGATAGCCTCATCCACAGCTCTAACCTTACATTGCCCTTTCATCTAGCAAATTCCATAATAAACTGCCACTTTACTGGGAACTAAAGCAAAAGCCCCAATGGGAAACTTGTTGGCCCAGCTGACCCAGCTTGAGTCATTGGCCCATCCCTAAACCAATCACTGTGACCAATAAGATGTGTTATTCTGATTGGCTAGGCTGGATCAAGTGTTGCCCCCTGGAGTGAAAGTAGGTCAGCCCCATTCAAAGTGCAAGGATAATATTCCCCATAAAACAGAAATTCTATTACAGGAAAAGGGAGGAAAGAAAATAAGCTGAGCAGACAAAAAACTAGACTAATTTTCTCACAGTGTTTTAAGGGGCAAAAAAGGAAAAGCATTCCTTATTATTCTCTATTAAATTATTATATTATTATATAATTATATTATTCTCTATTAAATTCTGAAAAACAAGGGGAGAACAGGATTTTACCAAAGACATAGACTCAGTAAGATATAGATTATATATACATACACATGTGTATACAGATAAGTGTGTGTATATATATATATACATGAGTGTGTTTTATGTACATATGTATATACATATACAGGTATACATATATTTACATCTATACATATATAGTGATCTGATGACTGGTGAAGACCCACTTCCTATCTTGCAGGTGGTCATCTTCTCACTGTGTCCTATATGGTAGAGAACAAAAAGAGCAAATTCTTTGGTCTCTCATCTTATAAGGGTACTAATAAGATTCATGGACAATCTTTCCTCATGACCTAATCACTTCCCAAATTCCCCTTCTCCTAATAATATCACATTGGTGGTTAGCATTTCAATATATGAACAGGGAGGCAAGGGACACAAACATTCAGTCCATAAGAGATGACATTTTCTTTTATCTTTATTTTCCCATGTCTTCTCTCCCTGAAACACCCAAGAGCCTAATGCCATGCACACAGTAAATAATAAATATGTGTGGAATAGATAAATGAACAAATTGCATTGTAAGTCTCTCACTTGCTCCACTGAATATGAATGATTGCTATTTTTCTTTTCATATAGCTTCTACCACATTGAGTAAATAGTACAGAAAAAGACATTTGAACAATGCAAAGCATCTAGCAATCTATAAAATAATTTTCCCTTATAATAATATAGATAATTCATATGTTCACTATTAAATTCCACTTGCAATAAAGTTTATAATTTTAATTAACATACAAAAAGTATGCCACTCTGCTTCTGGATGTTTTTATCAGGAAACTACATGATGAAAAAAGATTGATTGGGTCATATACCATAAGAATAGATCATAGAGTGAAATACCTTAAAGCCATCAGACTAGGATTTTTGTAATAATGTAGGGCTGAAAGAGGAAAATAGAAAAGGGAGAAAGGATTAAAAAGTATGGTAAGAGAAGAATGGAGAAGACTTGGGTTAATCAGTTACTATGGGGAGAAAATTCCAACATTTGAGACTGGAGAGTAAGAGAATGATGGCAATGACAGTGGAGAAGGAGCTAGGGTGAGTGGTATCTTGATGCATTAGTTTTTACTCATTATTAGGTTTGAAGCTACAGAAACATCCACATTGGCCATGTGCCCTAGGCAGTTGATAATGCAGTTGATAATGTAGTAATAACCATCAGAAGTCAACGGGAAATTCAGATTTGAACATTACAGTACGGTGGCCTTACCAAAATCCAATTTCCTTATAATCCTGGGTATACGTCTATGTGATTATATAGGTATAGGAATCATCTCCAGAGCACCCACAAAGAGACATTTTCTTCAGCCTAGCTTCTTCTGACTTTTACAGAACCTGAAATATATCAAAATCAGGGAAAGAGTAGAAACTTGAAAACAACCATGCTTTTTCAGTTCCCACTCTTCTTCATCCCTTTCACTAGAAGTACACCTTCCTTGGCAAGTCTACAACAGCACACTTACATCATTCATACACAATCTCCATCTGTATTTTAGCTTGAGGGGTTCATTAAGTTGGGTCAATAAATATTTATTGAGCATATAATATGGTTCAGGAACTGTGTTCACAGTGAGGGAATAAAGATGATTAAGATCTATTCTCTGCCCTGAAGGAACTATGAATCTGTTAGGAATACATAAAAATAAGTAGGCATGTACAGTATGTAGGTTAAAGAAGGAAGCAATCTACTTTGCTATAGAGTTTAGGGACGGCCTACATATTGGTAAATAGATATTACTTTCTCTTGTTTGCTCTCTCTCTCTCTCTCTCTCTCTCTCTCTCTCTCTCTCTGTGTGTGTGTGTGTGTGTGTGTGTGTGTGTATGAAGAAAAACTTGGAGACCACTAAGCAAAAGGAATTTATGTGGGCGATACAGGAGTTATGAACTATATGGTCCATTAAAGGAACTAAAATTGCAGGTTCACTGATACATAGGATATGAAACAGCAAATGACTGGAGATGAGTCTTAAGAAATAGGAGCAGAACCTTCCTTTCAGCTGGAACTACCCTTTTCCTGTAATTCACTGAAATGACCAACACAAAGAAAGGAGACACTGCTACGTGTTCTGTAGGCCTTTTAGAAAGACTAGAGTTATCCTTTGGCTTCATACATGAGAATCGACAAGAAAGGTGATATTGCAGACATCAAGAGGATGGGCATTGCTCAAAAAAAAAAAAAAAAAAAAAAAAAATGGCCCACCAAGTGAACAGGGGAAAAACTGAAAGTCTACAACATTACTCGGCATACTGTTGACATTGCTGTAAATAAACAAGTAAATGACAAGATTCTTGCAAGAGAATTAATGTTCAAGTTGAGCATTCTAAGGGCCAAGATAGTTTCCTGAAGCACGTGAAGAAAGTCATCAGAAAAACAAGGAAATCAAAGAGAAAGATACTTGGGTTTGACTGAAGGTCCAGCCTGTTCCACTCAGAAGCAAACTGGGTGAGAAAAAATAGAAAGGAGCCTGAACTTCTGGAACCTGCTCTCTAGGAAATGATGGCATGATAGGTGTGAAAAATAAATAAAAACCTCTAGGCTAGAAAAATGTTTCTCTTAATTGAGTACAAGTGTGGTGTTCTCCCCACAAAGAAATATTGAAAGAAAGAAAAAGGACCAGAATATTGTACTTTTTCTTTGGTAAGATTTTTTAATTGCAAGGTACAAACCACACAGAGTTGAGGCCAATCTCAGTAAATCTCACATCACTCAATACAGTATAAGCTTTGAGCAAGAAAGACTATCTCCAATCAAATTTCTGAGCCACTACCCCAGATTTAGTCCTTGGAATGGGGGCCCCTGTGATTTTCTTATTTATCTAACTTGCTTTCCCTCCTAATGAAGATCTCATTTATTCTCATTCTCTCTATTCCATACCATTTAGATTACTGTCATTTATTAGAATTAAATGCAAGTAATAGAACCCTATTCAGACTAGCTGAAACCAAGAAGTTGAGTCTGTGGTCAGCTGGACCAGTTGAGAGGTTCATTTGAGCTGGGCAAGCCCTCAAAGGAGGTTTCTACAATATCAAAAATCCTAGCATCACAGTTACATGAGCAACTAATTCAGAGGGGACGCCCTGATCTTTCCCCACACAGCTCCTTGACTGGTCTTCTCCTGGTCTAGGGGTTAATCCTAATTTTCTTGTAAACCTCCCATATCAGTCAGCTTTCTGTTGATTTAAACCTGTTTTCTCCACTTAACTCTGATCTTTAAACTAGGTGTTGGAGTCCCGAGAATACTCTTTACTCACCTCCCAGCACAGAAGTCTCATCTTCCTATCATGGCTCCATGCATGGCTTCATCCATCCCAGATGATAGATATCTTTCATCCTAGATAATAAGTTAGGAGGTCATAGAAAACCTCATTTCAATCCTTTGTGTTCATTTTTCCATCAGTTCTACTGCTCTCAAACACTGTGATAAATCTCATGATAACAAAGACATGAAGGGGAAAGTTATTTTATAACAGACTACAGGCAGTTCTCACTTTGCATGGTACCATGTTATCTCAATTGTGCGCATATTGGAAACTGTGTTCTCTCTTTCACACAATGCCATGGTAACAATCTTGGCTACCACGGAACCATGTAAAATGATGACACAGTTCCAATATGTGCACATTTCAGTTAACATAGTATCATTCAAAGTGAGGACTGCCTGCATTCTAATATGATTAATGAACTAATAGACAAAAGATTATCCCATATCGTCATGCCTCCAATACCCCAAGAATTTTCCTAATTTGTTCAATTCCCTCCTCAAGTCTTAACAGCCTTTTCAGAAATTAGAGGGGTTGGTAGGTGGCAAAGCTGGGGAGTTTCTCAGGCTACCTTTCTTGCTCATTTATCCTGTCAATTTTCATTGTTACTCTTTTATTGTTATCAAGTTTATAGGGGGAAAAGACGGCATCATATTAAGGCATAATTAGGATAATAAACGGGAGCTGTGGTTTGTTTTTGGACTGATTCCAGTTGGGTAGCACACATAATCACCTCTAGCTGACTGCTTGATGATTATGACTTTGACAAAGTGGCATTATTTACTGCTAATGGATGAGATGATGATTTATTACTAATTACTCTCTTTTTCTACAATTTTATATTATGTTAAATGAAGAATTACAGTTGGGGTAATAAATATTCACTAGAAGAAAATGTCTAGCAGCAGCATTCATGAAACTAGCCCCTGAATAGAGGAGCCATTTTACCCAGGACCAGACTTTAGAGGAAACGGTGAACCTGACAGTTTATCACTGACTCTCCCCAGCTACGCGCCTGCACACGCGCGCGCACACACACACACACACACACACACACACACACACCTGTGAGTCTCTCTTACCTTCCTTCAGGAGTCCTCACCCCACTCCAGATTCTTCAGATCATTCCTGCTACCTGCCCTTTTTTTTTCACTTTTCCTCTCCCTTCATAGGATGTTAGTGAAATCTCTACCCAGGGTCATTTTGGAATTCAAGAGTCTTCTGGAAAAAAGAAAAGAAGAAAAAAAAAAGACTTCCTAGGTGCAAAGAACAAAACGATAGGCTTAAGATTCATCCTTTTCCAAAAATATGAGTTTTTGGAGAGCCAGAGGAATGTAAGTGAATATAAATAAATGTAAAAGCAGTGTCATGACACTTACAAGGAGTGATGAGGCCACTAGGATAAGATAGGGGCTATTAACCAACTTAAGATGCTCCATTTGGAAGAGGGACAGGTACAACCAGGGTGGCCCTAACTACAGTGTGATACTTGATGAACTGATATGGAGAGTGAAGAAATTCGTGTGCTGCCGTTGTCATGCGTGAGGGTGTGGATACTGGCTGTGTTCGCCAGCCCAAGTCTTAAGTGCAGCATTAGGAGAGGGAATCAGAGATGAAGCAAAGCTGAGCAACAGAATAGATAGAAAACCCCTTGAGGACAGGAATCACGTCTTTATTCTTTGTTATAATCTGCACACTGGTAGCAGAGTCCAGAGTACAAGGAATGCACTGAACATGTTTGTTGGCTGATTTTTGGTGGATTGACTAAAACACTGAAGAGCACATTCTCTGCAAGCAGATCAATTAATAACCACTTTATTTAAAGAGGGAAAACTGCATTTGTAAAAGATGCTATATTTTCATTATTAGGAACTGCAGTACCATCACCTTAAGTATTATTCTGTTATTTCCATTTCACTAAAGGTTTTCATTGCAGGTTAGAATTCCATATATTTGTAATTAGTACACACAGCAGTATCTGATTTTAATGTTGTACTTATGATCAAATTTTATTGTTGAGTAAGTTGCTTTTGAAGTTGGTTTATGTTACTTTTCCTTGAGTGAGTTTGTTTATCTCTTGTTGCAACATGTGGCTTCATATCCCATCTTTCGGGGCGGGGGGGGGCAGGGAGAAGAGGGTTTAACATTGGTTTACATCACTGTGTTTTTTTTAAGATTTATTTTTATTTATTTATGCATATAAGAACTGGGATCTAGGCGAGAGGTGTGGGGGGGTGAGAGGATTCACCAGAGACAGAGTGGGGAGCAGAACAGGTGGATTGACTGAAATACACTGCTGAGGAGAGCAGCAGGTGAGACAGGAGAGGTCTGCTGTGCCATGTGGGTTAGCTCACTGGCCAGGGAACATAGAGACAAGAGAAGCTGAAAAAACACTGAGAAAGAAGGTTTCTGCCTTATTCCATGTAAGAATGAAACAAACTGATGGTAGCTGTGCAGGTGGCAAGGAATAAACAAATTTGAGATCCACTTTGAAGGCAGAAATAAGGATTTTCTAGCTAACTGTGTGTCAAGGGAAAGAAGAGGAAGAGTCATAGGATTTGCTGGCTTATGACTTGATGCCATTTCCTGTGGCAGGAAGGCCTGGGACCATGCTTGCAGGAAACATGCTGAGCTTTGTTTTGGCTCTTATTCTGGCCACTGTCCACAATAACAGAAAATGAAATCTGGGATTTAATGTTTGTACAAAATAAATAAATAAATAAATAAATAAATAAATAAATAAATAAATAAATAATTTATAGTACATTGTATATCTAGAATATTCATCTAAAGGCATCCCTTAGTAACTTGTTTTACAACCAGTGAAGGGAAAATGCTAGTATTAGATTGTTTAATTAAAGTCACCCGTCATTAAACTTTCTATTATTGAAAGCATAGCAAAATAAAGTAATAAAATTAAAGGCTCTGTGACTTATATGGTAAATGATGAAATTCTTTCCAACAAAACTACTGAGAGTGTGAATGTTGAATCAGATTTTTATTTACAAATTGATTACCATTTTTTTTAAGCTGGCTTTATTTAATCCATACCACCGTGAATGTGCATTATACAAGGTGACAAACTATTAGAAGTATGAAGAACTTTAAAAGTGACCCAGTAAAATATTCTCAATTTAAAATGAGAACAACCTTGTCACACAAAAATGCCTTGACCAAGGTCACGGAGCTAAGCAGTTTACCTGACTTGAAACCCAATGCTGCAAATCAAATCCAATTCTCAGGATTAAGACATCTTGAAATCATGTGAGAAACTAGAATATTTCAAGCCAAGAATCACAAAAAGAAAATGTTTCACTTTATTGTAGGTTCTCAACAAAATATTATTTCCGTGAAAATAAGTATTGAATTGGCTGTTCAACTTTCTGTGGAGTCAACAGATTGAATCCTGAAAACTCAGATATCCATTGGCTATACTGTATAATTTTCACCTTACTTTCTTGTTTTCTTAATCATATGCTTTGAATTTGATAATAATAGGTGTGATAATTAGGCTGAGAAAACAGACATCTGGACTTTCAAGCTGCTTTACTTCATATCTAAAAACCATGTAGAAGAATCTGAAATACACTGAAATAGTATGCACCCTTGCTTCATTTTTCGTTAGAGAAGTAAATCTTTGGTGCCACAAATTGTTTTTGTATCATTACATGATGGTAACTAGAACTTCATCTACTGAACCAGAGCTGGGAACAAGGAGCTACACGTCTCATATTCCAAAGACCTTCCCTGTAGAACTAGATAGGAAGTGGCAAAAAGCTGTCCTGGGAACTTTCACCATATTCATAAAAGAGATTCTTTAAAGAACTTCATGGCACTGAGTTTTCTGGCTTCTGTCCCATGGAGAAAGGATTGGGGAAGGGGGCTCTGCATTTCTTCTTCCACCATACAAAATATCCGCCAAATGGAAGGGACCTGAATAAAAACACTTGCCTACAGGCAGACAGTTATCCTAGCCCTTGTCTGAACAATCTTAGGGAGTGGAGCAAGAAAAAATTTTTAAGAGAATTTGGACTGTCCTCCCCCCAAGAGAGCAGCTATCCCCGGGGGAATAAACAAACTGAGAAGACAACAGAGTGAGTAAGCTGCACTTCCACTGGCCTGCAGAAAGATCAAGAGCTCTTAGGTTTGCTACTTAGTGACAAAGACATCAGGTGAATGCCTTCAAGGGTAGTCCAACTGGTACTATCTTGAAAGGGCTCTGTTTGCAGGACACTGGGACCCCAGCAAAAGAAAGTTCAATAGGATGCACACCCAGAGCCAAAAACTGAGAGTGTATCACAAGGTCAACCAGAAATACTTCATCCTTATAGGGCAAGGATCCCACAAAACACAGTCCTGAAAGAAACACAGCTTTGGAACATCTGAAAACTGGCACCAATTATACCCTACCCACCAAGTTGGAGACTCACTCGCTCACCATTTACTCTCTTTCATACTTGTCAGCCCAGCACTGCAGAAATCTGAAAGCAGCAGATTCTGAGTGAAGACCATATGAATTGGAAGAGCAAAGTAGAGAAAGAGAAAGAGGCCAGACCTGCTCTTTGCCCATCAACAGAAGAACCATGTCTTCTCTGGATCTTAGGGCTGGAGAAGGCATTGGCTGGATTTTGAGGGAAGATGTTTCACTTAGATGAGAAAGTGAAGTTTTTTATTAGATTGGGCGGTACTATCTGATATGTAACACTTGAAAATCAACCTATTTTGTTAACACTTGAAATTGAAAAGCTGTGAGATCTTCATGAGTTGTCACCAAGGGAAATCTGGTCAAGTGTAATTAAGGGTAGTATAGAAGAAAAATAAATGTTGTTTCTTTGTTTAACTCTACCAATTTTAACACATTTAATACACCTGTTAGAGTGAAAATAATAAAAAATAACACAAATGAGATGCAAAGTTAAATGTAAGGAATATTTCTGGCCACAAGCATTACATTAAAATTCCCTTTTGGTCAAATCCAGTTTGCAGTATGTCTGCAACCAGGTGAAATGAGCTTATAAGAGACCTGAGAATGTTTTATAAACAAGTTAAATATTTATTATAAAAAATAAATGTGAGTGATGTTTTTAAAGGAAAGCAAATGAATGCAAATGAAGCTAAGACCAGGAAACTGATGATACTAGGAAAGCATATTTATTAGCCATCTTCAATGTGCTAAGTGGTGTTTAAAGACATAAGAAGAAAGAGAAGATATCATTCCTCTTCTTGGAACCAGCTGGATGAAATAAATCCGTGCTGAAAAAAAAAAATAAACACCAGAGAATAATAGAGCAAAGTAAGTATAATCAAGTGCTATAATAAGAGTAAGAGGATATATTCCCGTACAGAAATGCATACACATGAAGGGAGAAGCATGGTGAAGAGGATTTGTATAATGACAAGAGGAGATACAGACCATCCAGAAAGACAGAGGATATTGAAAATGCTTTCCTGATGCAGATTACAAAGCTCGGATAGAGATGATCCACTATAGTCAGTGGAGATTTCCATTACCCGGGCATCTGTTGGCAGTCTCATTATGATTATGAAAAAAGCATGCATGCACCTAAGAAATTGTTAAGTAGCCTTGCTGAGGATTTTACTGCTGGGAAGGATACCATGGGGAAATGGTTAACAAGCCTTTTTTTTTCCTGATCAAAAAAGAAAAGTCAGTTGTCAATCTAGACCTGTCAGGGGACTCCAGGGAAAGTAGTGATGATGTGATGGTATTTGGGACTTCTAAATACCACAGGAAATAATTGGAGATAGCCTGAATTCTAAGAAAATGAGTGTGCCTAAAGCTACATTAATGAAATAATATAGGCATAGTCAGACAAACTGTGGAGAATTTAGTTGGCAAAGGAATTTATTTGAATTCAAGTTCGATCAGGGCAAGAAGTTCAATTGTCTGTTTAAAACTCCAGCAGCCTCGTCTCTCTCCACAATTAAAACATAGCCTTGGATTTAGTTCTATCTTTAAGACAACAAATTCTTCTGGAGAGTCCAGGAAGACATTTCAGGGTATATGAGTGGGTTTAGTGGTATAAATGATACTCTTTGGGGGAAGAAACATTCTGCCTTATTTCTAAAGGGTCCATTATTGAATAATACCCCTACTACCTACTGGTTGCAACTTGAATATGATTTCCAGATGCCAAGAACATTCTGAGATGTTCTCCCAGTCTTGGGATATAACAAAATATTTGAAAGACAGAACACTCTGGATAATAAGAAAGATTTTTCAGTTTAGATTTTGTCAGTTACAGCACATTAAGTTATGCTGACCCAGATATTCTGATTTCAACTGTTTTCCACATTCCCCTGGAAAATCCTAATATCAGCAAGCATGTGGCCTGGCAAGCTGGGAGTATTAACCTGTGGTCCCACCAGAATTCTTCATCCTTTTAACATGGCTCAGTCATACTTAGTGAAGCTGACAATTCTCTCACATAAGGTGTGATTCCTATTGGTACTTCCACTTATGACACATAGAAGTGCCACCTGTACATCAAGTTAAGGCCACCATGGTCTTGATTTTTTTTTAATCTGACAGTTTTCAGTAAGAAAGCTATTCTTTCTCATGTAAAGGGGAAATTCTGAAATCTAAAATACAGCTCTAGGTCTGAATATTTTCTGACGAAAATAACATTGTGTCTCAGCAAAACTAGTTAATCTGTCCTTCTACCACAAAATGTAAACTGTAGATTGTAATGGACCACTGAACAGTTCAAACCAAAATTATAACTTCCGATTAAGTAGGATGGCCTGGCCTGCTGAATCACCAGTGTGGAAACCCCTCCCTGATGAATGTGGAGTACAAGGTGGCAGGGGTCACTGTTGTTTGTGGGAAAGCATGTGTGTGTGTCTTTCTTCTTGTCTTTTCATTTAACTCTTTAGTAACTAACCTTATCCTCCAAATTCTACAGCAAAAACTCCATCAAGGTGATCCAGGGATGGCCAGATTTAGGAAATAACAGATTAAGCTCTGGGAAGCAATAGTGAGCAATAGTGCAGTGTTCCAACATTAAAAAGATGTCTTTATTACCTGATTAATCTCATAACATTAATCCAGAGTGACCTTGGGTGTTAGGAAAACTAGTAAATGAATCACTTAAGAGGTTCCTGTTGGTAAGCAATACAATAGCCAACTCAAACTGGCATTAACAATGAAGTCAATGTATTCACTCAGACAACCAAGCCCAGAAATTATATAGATTTTGGGGAAAAACTTTGGTTAGATACTTTGGAACTCTAGCTCCAATATTTGTTATTCTCTTGACTCTTCGTTCCTCCAAGTGTCCACTTCATTTTCAAGCTCACTTCCCTCTCAGTGACTGTGATAGTTAATTTTATGTGTCAGTTGGCCACAGGGTGCACAGATTAAACATTATCTCTGGGTGCTCTGTGAGGATGTTTCTGGATGTGATTAGCATTTGAATTGGTGGACCTCATAAAGTAGTTCGCTCTCCAGTGTGGATGGTCTTTATCCAATCTGTGAAGAGCACAAAAGGTGGAAAAAGAAGAATTTTCCTCTTACTTCCTACCTCACTGTTTGAGCTGGGACATTTCATCTTCTTCCCTCACATTGGGATTTATACCATCAGCTCAGTGGTTTCTCAAGCCTTCAGACTCAGACAAAATTACACCACCAATTTTTCTAGAGCACCCCACCACACTTGGCAGATCATGGGATTTCTCAGCTTCCAAAAATCTCATGAGCCAATTCCTCATAAGTCACTATAGCTGTAGATATATTATAGATACATTATATATTAATATACACAGTCAGAGTATAACCTCTCTATCTGCAGGCTCCATATCCACGGATTCAACCAACCTGGATGGAAAATACAGACAATGTAGTCAGGACTGCTGTGATTACATACATACTGAAAATGTCAAGATTTTTTTCCTTGTCATTATTGCCTAAACAATACAGTATAACAACTATCAACATAACATTTACATTGTATTAGGTACTATAAGTAACATAGAGATGATTCAAAGTATACGATAAGATGTGTGAAAGTGTGCATGTGCAAATACTACACCATTTTATATAAGAGACTTGAGTATCTTAGGGTTTAGGTATGACGGGGGTGTTCTGGAACCAGTTCCCCATTCACACCAAGGGACTACATATACACAACTATATATTATACTTATATAATGTAGCATATACAGAGGTTGAAATATAAAGTGACATGCCCAAAACTTAAAACAGAAACACTCTTAGATTATAAGAATAAAATGGTGGTCACCAGAGGGGAAGAGGGTTTGGGGGGCAAATATGGTAAAAGGAATCAATTGCATGGTGGCAGATACAAACTAGACATTTGGTGGTAACCATAATACAGTATGTGCAAATGTCAAATTATAATGCTGTACATCTGAAACCTATATAATAAACCACTAAATAAAAAATGTAGAGATAGTTGAGAACAAAAGCTATAATGCCTCTGCTTGCAAGATGTACAGAAATGCAAGAGACCCAACAAGTACATAAAACAAAGTTGAAGAATCCAAGAGACACAAAGTGGAGAGCAAGTTCTAATATGAGGCAGCAGAAGCCAGGAGTAGAAAGGAAAAAAATAGGAACAAATGCTATTTACTGCAGCTGGAGATATAAGTAAAAAGGGACATAATATCTTCATGCCATGGAGGCTGGATATTTATAAAACTGAACTAGAATCATATTCCCTCAATGAAAAAGATTCATGCAGTTTTATAAGTTATCAGGAAACGTGGGCAACAATGTACTTTAAAGATTATTTTGTTTGAATGATGTAAAACATACATATATATAAATATATTTTTTTTTAAAGATCATTTTGTTTGAGACTAGAAATTTCCCACTTTGTCCATCAAGGGACTCCATCATCATAGTTAAATAAGTCAAGTTAGAATCTTTGGCTGTTTTAGGCTTTGGGGTTTGTGGAAGATTGTATGTATCATGTAGGTATCATGGGCTAAAAACTAGAGGCAATTCACCTCAAAAAGCTAAGCACTAGGAAACCATCACTATCATCGAAACCATTTATGTTAAAAAAAAAATTGATTTTGCAATGTCTTTAGCTTCCTGCATTTTATCTCTTGCTTTGCATCTTAATCCAACCTTATTCTCTAGACAAGAGGTGTTTATTGTTATTTGCCAGTAGCAATAATAGGCAGGTGATTCTAGATATATCCTGTTAAACTCAACCAACAATTATCTCAAAGGGATACATATTTATTTTAGACACTAACTTGGCCACTGTTTCTTATTTGTTTAGTTATGGTTATTTCATTGCATTTTATCTCCAAAAACACAAATATCTCAAATTTTTTTGCTTTATGTGTACACTCAAAAAAGACATCTAAGTCATTACTACCTTATTTATATTGTATTAAGTATTTTATTCACTCCCACAAAAACATCGGTAAAAAAAATTGCTTCCTGTTCATTGATAATTAGATGTTTTGCTTCATTTGGATTTCCTCCAACAATCTTCTGTTCAGATTCAGCTCTTATAATTAATTATCCTCTTGCTGAACAACTGAAAACTGAAGTCTGACCAAAGTACATCTCATCCCACACAGATGTCCTAGTTACTCCACAAAAGGTTAATTAATCATAAGAGGTGCTTTAGAGCAGGAGGCGCTGGAAGAAATTCAGACCTAGTTTCTGGCAACATAGAAAAACCACCATCATGCCCGTTGCTATTGAGCTCCCACTGAGAGAATCATTTCAATGGAACAAAAATTCAAATGCACAAAATAGCTGGTGGATATAATATCATGCCTCAAATAATGGAGCATGCCACTTCCCAGTCACTGATGAGTCAGAATCCCAGCCTGCCGATGGGGGAGGTCAGCCTTGTTTGTCCTCATTTAACAGAGGTGGCTGAAACTCCCAAATCATAACAACGGCAGAAGCTGTCTTCATTGTTCCCCTTTCTTTGGCTGGGTGCCATTTCATTATATGAATGAGCCCTCCTCTCCAGCCCAAACAGTCCACACACAAATACACCTGCCACTTTCCCAACCTGTGGTTTTAATCATGTGAATCCTCTTGGTCCAGGAATAGGTTTGCCTTCTTCTACTGTCCAGCCAAAGACTATAATTCAGTCAAAAGCCAGTTCAAATACTTCTTCCTAAGAAGATATCAAAAAAAATCCCTTTTATTATTGAAACAAAAAAAATCAAATACTTGGGAATAAATCTAACAAAAGAGGTAAAGGACCTATACAAAGAAAACTATAAAACACTGTTAAAAGAAATAGAAGAAGACACAAAGAAATGGAAATACATCCCCTGCTCATGGATTGGAAGAATAAACATTATTAAAATGGCCATCCTACCAAAAGCAATATACAGATTCAATGCTATTCCAATAAAAATTTCAATGTCATTCTTCAAAGAAATAGAACAATTATTGATGAAATTCATATGGAATCACCAAAAACCCCAAATAGCCAAAGCTCTCCTGAAAAAAAGAGAAGGAAATGGAGGCATCACACTCCCAGACTTCAAACTATACTACAAAGCCATAATCATCAAAACTGCATGGTATTGGAACAAGAACAGACACACAGACCAATGGAATCAAATAGAAAATCCAAAAATAAACCCACAGATTTATGGTCAACTAATCTTTGACAAAGGAGCAAAGACTATGCATTGGAACAAAGAAAGTTTGTTCAATAAATGGTGCTGGGAAAACTGGGTCACTACATGCAAAAGAATGAAGCTTGACCATTACCTCACACCATATGCAAAAATCAACTCAAAATGGATTAAAGGGGGCCTCCCCGGTGGCGCAGCGGTTGAGCGCTGGGTTGCAAAGCTGCCGGCGTCCTCTGCGGCGCCGGTTCGATCCCCGGCTGCTCCCCGGCCACTGGAGGAGGGTCCCACATGGCGCGCAGACCTCTCCTGCCGCCCGCTGCTCCCCTCAGCAGTGTACTTCGGTCCTTCTGCCTGCTCTGCTCCCTGCTCTGGCTCTGGTGAATTCTCTCACCCTCCCGCGCTTCTGACTGTACCCAGTGCATGTATAAACAAAACGAACGAACAAACAAACAAATAAATAAATAAAAACATGCCTCTATAAAAAAAAATGGATTAAAGAACTAGACATAAGACCTGAAACCATAAAATGCATAGAAGGAAATATAGGCGAAACACTACGTGATTTGCACATCAAAGACATCTTTACAGACACATCACCCAAAGCGGTGATAGTGAAGGCAAAGATAAACAGCTGGGACTACATCAAATTAAAGAGCTTCTGCACAGCAAAAGAGACAATAACAAAAACAAAGAGAAACCCCACCAACTGGGAGAACATTTTTGTACCCAACACTAATGATAAAGGACTGATCACAAAAATCTGCAAAGAGCTGATGAGACTCAACAACAACAAAGAAAATAATCCAGTCAAAAAATGGGCAGCAGAGCTAAAAAGAAACTTCTCTGAAGAGGAAATGCAAATGGCCAACAGACATATGAAAAAATGTTCAACATCACTTGTAATCAGGGAAATGCAAATCAAAACTACCATGAGATACCATCTTACACCAGTGAGAATGGCACATATTAAAAAAACTAGCAACAACAAATGTTGGCAAGGATGTGGAGAAAAAGGAACTCTCCCACACTGTTGGTGGGAGTGCAAACTGGTCCAACCACTGTGGAGGGCTGTGTGGAGATTTCTGGACCTACTAAATATAGAGCTTCCATATGATCCAGCAATTCCACTCCTAGGTATTTACCCAAAGGACATAGAAACTTCAATTCCAAAGAGCACCTACACCCCTATGTTTATAGCAGCACTGTTTACAATAGCTAAGCTTTGGAAACAACCCAAATGCCCAAAAATAGATGACTGGATCAAGAAGATGTGGTACATATACACCATGGAATATTACTCAGCATTCAAAAAAGATAAACACATGCAATTTGCAGCAACATGGAAGGGATCATGCTCAGCGAAATAAGCCAGAAAGAAAAAGAAAAATACCGATGGTCTCACTCATAGCAGGAATCTAGAAAACTTAAATAAGGGACCAGGAAAATGAATAACTATAAGAAAGCGAAAATCAAAATCAACAAAAAACTATGAACCAGAGACACTCTATTGGGGGTGAGGGGTGGAGAGGAGAGGGATTGGGGTCAAAATAAGGGGGTTGCAATTGTATGGGGAATATAAAAATAAATTTTTTTAATAAAAAAAAACAACAAAACAAATACTTCTTCCTCACAAACCTGCCCCTAAAACATCACAAGTCAAAGAAAATGCTTCCTCTTTTGAACCAGAAGTTGTGGCACAGAAGAGAAACACTGCTCTGAGCAACTGAAAATACATGTAGTATCTGACCTACTAAATGCATGATTGTGATTAAGTAGTTTAGGTCCTATGAGCCACGGTTTTCTGTTCAATAAGATGGGGAGAATTGCAACTACTTTGTGGGCTTTATCATGGAAATTAAATACAATAAGTTATAGGAAAAGGCCATTTTGTTGCTGCTCAGCACATATTTGTTCGCCGACTTGAAAACTGTGGTTTCATTTCCTTTGTCTGCTTTTCCTCCCTCTGACAAAAGATGTGAGAGTAGGTCATGTTGGTGGTCCCTAAGGTAATAGTCATCACGGCAGCCTTAGGGGACTAGGAAAAGGCTTCCTCTTTTCCAGCAACATGGGTATCATATATTGTGTGCTTTTAAAGATCTGTGAGAAGGTATTTTCAGACCCTGGGGCAGAAACTTTGGGGACCAAAACTCTGAAACCACCAGGTCTAAGCATTGGAGGATGCATTTGTCGTATTGGAAGTGACTATGAATTGAACAAGGAGAGAGTCTGACCATCTGAGATGGTCAAGCTGTCTCCATAGGAGAGGATCATGATTCTGGGTCCCCTCACCCAGATAAGGTGCCCTTCTGCTCCCAGCACACTCTCCTGGACAGAAAAAGATTTCTGGAGCCTGGGGGAGTCAGGAAAGAGGGATCCATATTGTGGAGCTGGAAGGGAAGTGATGGCCTGGCAATAGTTAGAAACTGTCTCACCGCGTTGCATAACTATTAGCATGTTTTTCTCCCCAACTCTATTCTAAGCTCTGGGAGGCAAAAACACTAGTTTCAAGATTTTCCTATTTTCCTCAGGATCCAGTCCACAGCTCACTAGATACTAGTTTGTCTCAAAGGGACTCACTAGATAAGTCACTTTTCTATTTCCTGTGGTCTTCTGTCCTTTGTCTATTGTTGAATCTTCACTTAAAGCAGATAAAGGTGGATTCCAAATCAATGTTGGGGGTTCTAGATGATTGATATTTTCTCCCTGCAGAAGGATTTGCTCCACTTCTCTTGGAAACTCCCACTGAAGCAGAGAATCAATGAATTTGAGACAAGGAGAGTCAGAAGAGTTCAAACAGTTGGGATGTGTGGCTATGTATTATGAGCAAAGAGTATATAGCTTGTCTTTCAAGAATAAGATTGCGTGAAAAAGGTGGTGATTCTGGTACATGGTGGCAGCAAGGAAGCCACACTGCACTGAGAGAGTCAGCTCTTCCCATCCTCCTTGTACACTGTCTTTATTTCCTTCTCATTTTGAATCTTGAACTGACAGTGCCAGGAAGTTTCCCTCCTGTCCAAGATGTCAACCTGTAAAACAGATTGACTGAAATAAATAACAATTTGCTCTCGAAGCACCTTTATTCAGGGTTCAAATCTCTTTTCAAGTATGAGTGTGCCCAGTCTTCACAGATGACAGGGTTCTTATCAATTATCTTCATTTTAAAGATGCGAAAACTGAGTCAGTAAAGTCAAATGTCAAGTTCAGCTGAATAGAGTCAGAACCTAATTCCACCGTTTATATACATATAATTATCATAATTATTATCATTCAGCAGCATTTCGCATGCTGACACAATCCATGGAGCAGAACTCAGCCAGCACCTGAAATGCAGCCAGGGAGACAATGTGTAATAAAAAATAATTCTGAGACCACAACACTCCCAGTTTTTGAAAGCCTTAAAATAAATCCCAAATATATTCATAATAGAAATAAATCATAGAATCCAAGGTACAAAATTATTTCCACAGCTGCTCCAATAAACATCAGAAAGGACCTTGCCAACTCCTGACGATTCAGTCTACTGTTGTACAAAAGAGGAGTTTGTTTAAAAAATAAAATAACCCTTATCTGTCTTCATGAAAGGCTAATAAGCAGGCATTATCAGGTTCTAAAAGGAACATGTTCAATTTCAACTCCTCTCAAAAATCTCCTGGCTATATTTACCCACTTTCTCAATTCGCAGGTGTTTGAAGCCCTGAAAAATTTTCTCGCTGCTCTAATTTTATAGTCAATGACATATATACAGATATAGAGATCGAAAGAGATAGGAGATAAGTATATATCCAGTCTATCTCCCTAACTAGGTTGTTAAGCTGCTCTGTGAATCCTCAGTGTAGCTTCCATCTTCCCCTGTCTCCCAGGTAGAAAGCTACTGTGGTTTGCCTAGAGAGAAGCCTTCACAAAGGTGTGTTATGGATGATGCAGTGTAGATACACAAGCTGATTCTAATTGGATGGAAAAGTAATGACAAGCTCAAGACACAGCCCCACACCCTTGCCCTTGTAAAAACACAGTGTAAAAAAACCAGTGTAAAATAAAAACTACACTTCCAGCTCCAGAGACAGTAAAAAGATCAGTAATTTCCAGGGATTGAGGCCTCAAGGGAACAAGAAATTATGAATAGGTAGTGCACCGAGGATTTTAAGGGCAGTGAAAACATTCTGGGTGACACTATAATGATGGAGACGTGTCATTACACATTTGTCTAAAACCATAGAAAATACAGCATCAGGAGCGAAACCGAATGTAAACTTTGCGCTCTGGAAGATAATGATGTCTCCATGCAGGTTCATCAGTCTTAACAAATGCACCACTCAGGTTGGGGTGTTGATCGTGGGAGGGGTTGCACATGTGGGGGAGGAGCCAGGGCCAGATGGGAAATCTCTGTAACTTCCTCTCAAACTTTCCTAAAAAATAAGTTTAAAAAAAACCCGCCTTCTTCCTGATTCTGTGTAAAGGTGCAAACTCTAGTGGCATGCACACCTCTCAAGGGAAGGAAGAGCTACCCAAGCAGCAATGAGGCTCTCAA